CTTCTTACCCAGCCTTCAGCCTGCCTCTCCCTATTACCACATAGTTGCAACACTTCCTGCCCATCTGGCTTCCATGGAAACAACTGCTCAGTGCCCTGCGAATGCCCAGAAGGACCCTGCCACCCAGTCTCTGGGGTCTGCCAGCTAGGTAAGGTAGAGGGAGCACATGGGGTGTGGTGACCAAGGAAAGTCTGCCCCTTCACTTGGGTTTTAGGGGTCTGTCACTTGCCAGGGAGGCAGGGCCCACTTTAGAGACATTCCCTATGCCTGGACTCTTTGTGGATGCTTTAGGACCACTTGAAGATGTAACAGAGCTCCTGCCCCCTAAGAAACCAGGCTAGAACAAGGGAATGAGCAGGCAGGGCTGGGCACTAGCATGACAGGAAAATCGGGGACACAAGCTTATGGAATGGGCCATGGGTCATCAGGAGACATACCTGCAAAGAGGCTTCCTGGAGGTGGGGAGGGAACTCCCAGGGAGAAGATCCTGGAAGGAGACAGAGTCGGAGACACCGATGTTCAGGAGACAGGAAGGCCCTGAATAATTGGCCATCTACCCCGCCCCAGGCCCTCACAGTCAGGACTCCGCCCTCATCGTGGGCATCCTTGTGCCTCTGCTGCTGCTACTCCTGGGCCTTGCCTGCTGTGCCTGCTGCTGCTGGGCCGCCCATTCAGACCCCAAGGACAGGTGAACACTGGCCTATCCCTTCTCTACCTCATAGCTTAGGCCTGGGGTAGGACAAAGGGGCATCTGGTTTCCTTTCAAGGGTGGGGAAGGGCCAGCCTTGTCACATGTAGGTCAGAGGTAATGGAGGTGGCTTGGTAGTGTCTATGGCCTGGAGATACCAACTCAGCCACTTGCCCTCCTTGGAAGCCTTAGATGGGGAAGTTTCTGAGTTGCATGAGAAAGGGGCACTGGGCCCCAGCCTGGAAACTCAAATCTGCTGCAGAAGGCTGAGAGTAGACCAACGGGGACTAGAGGAGAGGGAAAACACAGAAGCAGCAGCTCAGTTCTGAGCAGGGAGGGGAGGAGACCAGCCCTCAAATGCCCCAGAAAGGAGAGCGACATAAAAGTCTTCACAGCAGTTTTCTGAGAGATGGAGGGGGCCGCAGGGGAACGTTGCTCACACAGAGCTTTGTACCTTTACAAAAACTCTTCACATCCGCTGGCTCTTTTGAGACTCACAGCAGCATGGGGGATTTGGAACAGGGCATGTGGGGGTGGGAGGATTATTGTCCTCAATCCACAGAGGACACTGAGGCCCAAGATGACCCAGCTAGTCACTGGCATGCACAAAGCTCCCACCCGGCTTTCCAGACTTTGTCCAATGCTCTCACGTTACTTCTCACACTAGTCCTTGAGCTCCACATGCTTTGGGGCATTCAAAGGTGAGTAGATCCAATTGCTCTTGCCCCTGCCCCAGGGTATAGAAGCTAGGAGTGGGAGAAAACCCTTTACAGGAGCAGGAGGACGTGTGCAAAGGCTGTCAGAGGAATGGTGACGGGTAGAGCAGCTGTAGCACATCCAGCTTGAGTGTGGAGAATGGGCACAAGGTCTTCTGGGGGGGGTGTCATTTGAGATGGGTGAGCTGGGGTTCAGCTAGGATGAAAATAACAGCTATATGTTGGGGAACTCCCATAGGTCCCTAGCACTGTGTTGGGTCCTACAAAAAGCTCTGATAGATTGTTGTTCCCATTTTACAGACGAGGAAACTGAGACCCAGGAAGGTAAAGTCTGAGCCAGAGTTGTTATCCAGGTCTTTCTGACTCTAGAGCCACAATATCTCCTGTGGCAGGCCTGAATCTTGGGCTAAATTATTGGGATTTTATTCGGTAGTCAATAGAGATTCATTGAAATAGATGGCTAAGTGACACATGTCACCTTGGGTCTTATACAAAGCCCACTTTTCCTGTCCTACCCTCTTAGGCCAGTGAGCAATGGAGCTGCTGTGTCCAGGATGAAGCTGCAGGTCTGGGGGGCACTGACCACCCTGGCCTCTGCGCTGCCCTGTTTTTCCCTGAGCACCCACAAGCTACCCTGGGTGACAGGTAAGTGGAGGCTGGGGTTGGGGGCTGGGATGGGATAAGGCTTCCCATCAGGCTCTGCATCTGACCTGGAGTCCCTACAGTCTCCCATCACGACCCGGAGATTCCCTTCAACCACAGCTTCATCGAGCCGCCCTCTGCTGGCTGGGCCTCTGATGACTCCTTCTCTTCTGATCCCGAGTCTGGAGAAGAGGATGAGGGTCCTGCCTACTGCGTGCCACCCCAAGAAGGTAGCTCCCCAGCAGCCTACTTAGCCCCTGAGCATCCCTGCCCACCACAACATCTTTCTCAGTCCTTCAAACATTGATCAGGTGCCCATTCTGTGCCGTCACTATCCCTGGCTCTGGAGACACAACAAAGAACAAGATTGATTCCTATGCTCACCAGGCTTGTAGTCTGGTGGGCTGTAATCAAACAGGCCATCAGACAATTATAGGACTTTGATGGGGCCTGCACACATAGGAGCTCATAATCTAGCCACATCCGGGAAGATGTGTTAGTGACACTGGAGTTCAATCTAGCCAGCTGAATCAGTAGGAGGTAGCCAAGTGGAAGTTAGGGAGAAGTGGGAACAGTGTTTCAGGAAGAGGGAACAGCCAAAGGCACTAGCCACATACACCTAACGTGGCGGGTTTGAATCCAGTCGAGCCAGTCAAACAACAATGATAGCTGCAACCAAAAAATAGCCAGGCGTTGTGGCGGGCGCCTGT